GCTTCAGCTTCAGCATCAGTCCTTTCAATGAATTTCCAGTATTGATTTCCTTTAGGATTGATTAGATTTAGCTCCCTACAAATCTATGAGCTGAAGCTTGTTTTTAAAAAATGATATGATAACAAAGACAATTTAGGTGATGTAAGAAAATGTTACTTAACACTTTTTGAAGTGGACCATCTCTATCTGGAGAACTGCATAATGAGGTTGAAGGCAGGAAGCTTTTGTAAGGTGAAGAATAAAGAACAAGGAAGAGGAAAAATATCAGTTAAAAAAAAATCTAATCTGCTGGGGCCACATAGTCAAGTTTGCTTGGAACAAGGAAACACATATAGAGCCCACAGTGGGCTTGGGCTTTGGGGACTGGCTGACTGGATACATTGTGTTTATGGTCAGGCAGAACATTTACAGGGACATGAAATGTGTCTATATTTTAGTTTGCAGACATGGCACCCCTGGAAGGAGTGGCTCCATCTTTCAACTAGAAATTTCATTTTCACTCTACTACAGTCAGAACTCCACCACCCAACAATTAAGGCAATAAACTCTCTAGTTCTTTCTGTTCCAACTCTTGCTCACTATTCTGAGTTGATGCTTCATTTCCAGCATGTGAGGGTTTCGAGCTTTTCATCCAGAATTTCCAGCTGTCTTGAGGAAATGGCTTCATAGCCCATTATCCAACATTCTATTCAGTATCTTCCCTCTCCCATGCACTGAACCCTCACTGAGCAATCCTCTCTGCAGTGTCTTCTTAACTCTGCTCCCATTAGTCACCTGCCATCTTCCTCCTCTCTCTCCTCTTCCCAAGATTCTTCTATCATAAACACCCAGGAACCAGGTCAGGAAAATAGAACCTTCTTTAACGGCATCTCTTTAGTGCGTATTGAGAGTAGGAATGGCTGGAAACATCCATAGATATGAAAAGTAAGACTATTGCCCTATTGCTTGGACTTCCCTGCTGGCTCAGCGGTAAAGAATCCCTCTGTGGGACTTCCCTCATGGTTCCCGGATAAGAATCGCCTGCTAATGCAGGAGACACAGGTTCAATGCCTGGTCCAGGAAGATCCCACATTCCACAGGGCAACTGACCCATGTGCCACAAGTAGAGAGTGGCCCTCTTTTCACCACAACTAGAGAAAGCCTGTGTACAGCAACAAAGACCCAGAGCAATCAAAAATAAATACATAATAAATAAAAAACTTTAAAAAGAGGAAAAAATGTTAAAGAAAAAAAGAATCTGCCTGCAATGCAGGAGACATGGGTTCAATCCCTGGGTTGGGAAGGGTTCAATCCCCTGGAGTAGGAAATGGCAGCCCACTCCAGTATTCATGCCTGGAAAATCCCATGGACAGAGGAGCCTGGTGGGCTACAGTTCATGGGGTCGCAAGAGTAGGACATGACTTTGAGACTAAATAACCACCATTATTCTCTGCTTATAATTGATCTAGTAAATGGCTCAGTGGATTTTAAAGATGTAAAATTAGAGAGGTCTTGTAAAGACAGCATTTCACTTTATTATAGAGGTCTGCCAGGGAGGATATATAGATTGGCACAAAGTGAAGAAAACATCTCATTTCAAAGTTTTACTAGCAAGTTTTCAAGATCGTTTTCTTTGTAAGACAGGGAAGCAGCAGAACCTTGACATAGGCAAAGCTTCCCCTGAGGACATGCTATATGAAGAATTTAAATTTTCCTTTGTCTTGGACTCCTGTCCAAGACAGACATATGTTGCATCTGCTTTGAATCTCTTTTAATTCCTTCTACTTAGGCTTCAGTGCAGTCTTCTCACATAGCCTTTCTTGAACCAGTTCTCTGAACTCAGTATGACAGTGGCAATACAACAGCTGAGTTCTAGGTGGTGTCCATACGCAAAATCAGCAGGGATCTAACGCAAAGCCAAGAGTAGCACAAAGGGGCATCTGCATATGGATAACTTACAAGGGGTCTTAACAGTCTTAGTGATGATGATAAAGAATTTGTCATTTATTGTATAATATCTCTCAGGCATTAACCTAAGTGCTTTGTATGGACGGTATTATTTCAATCTAACACTCCTATAACTTTGCTATTATTTCTATTTCTGGTTTATAGATCAGGAAACAGAGGCACAGAGTGTTAAAATAACTTTCTCAAGATCACACAACTCATGTTATCGAAAGTGACAGAGAAAGGGAGAAAAAGGCAGGGGAAAAAACAGAGCTTCTCTGGAGTATCTTGGTAACAGGAGCTTGTGGGCCACCTGTTTATTGTGCTGAAATTAATGCAATTCTGTCACCCCGACAACAGTTTTCAAGTTTCTTCATTCCCAATTTAAAATCTCAAGAGAATGCATCTGATAGGTCCAGCTTTGGTCTGTCCTTGGTGAGTTAATGAGCTCTGATCAGCTGTACAATAATGGAATACAGATATGGTCATCCCTGTATAGCAGGGACCCTGCCTAGAAATGCAGCAATGGTCGTTAAGTGGCTGGCTACTCCAGGTAGTATCTGCTCTATGAGTTAACGATGTAAGAAGCTATGACATCTGTGTACAATTTTCTGCAGCTGATACATGGTCCAAGAAAAAGAAATACAGTCATTACATACTCTTGGGTGTAAGACAGGCTCAAGAATATATTGTACAATACAAGCAATACAACCAATGTTTCATAATAAATATAAAAAAAACTTTATTTTGTAATAAACTATAAATGGAAAGCAACCTTTAAAACTGCATGAAAACAAACCATTAAAAAAACAAATACCAAATCATGCACTGTACACTTGAAAGTAATATGTTATATATTACTTACACTTCAATTAAAAAAAGAAAAAAAAAACAACAAAAATTACATCCATTAAGTAAGATACATAGGGTGTAAGTGCTATAAATTTTTTACTTCTCTGGAGTGTGCATATATATTGACTGAATTGAAAATGATATATTATCTGTTTCCTTCATATGGAAAACTCCCTGAAGCAGCTCAAATTACATCGAAATGATGAACTTCTATTTCTTCAATTTTTAACAGCGTGTCCTTTTAGCTAACTGTGAATGAACCACCTGCTGAAAACAACAAAAAATGCTGGGTTAAAAGATCAAATAAATTGATGTACTAATAACAAATGAAGAAATTCTCACAGGGGATAAAAAGAAAGGAGGCAAGAAAAACGAGAGCATACTGAGAAGTAAGTGAGGGCCAGTGGGCTTCATGCCTGTCTTGATCAGGGAACTCCAGAAGAAAAAGTCTCCCTTGAGAATTTATAACAAGCCACTTTGATTTGAGGCCCAAATTCATTCAATCTGTGCAATCCAATAAACCTCAAGTGGATAATTTAATCTGGTACTAGAATTGATGGTGCATCCAAGAAATTTACAGAAGCAAATTCTAATAATCTCTAGGAAAACTTAGTTTTAACTCTGGCCTCAAAGAATTTCCAGTTACAACCCCAGAAGCACAACATAAAAGTCCCAAATAATAACCCAGGAGGTGGTAGACACCATGTGCAAAGGTTAGAAGAAACAGCAGACAGCACAGAAGACCCATAACATTTTTAGCACCGGATTTAAGACAGTACTGAGTATGCTTAATTTGTATAGGAAATTAGAAAATGGCAGAAAAAGAGAAGCAAACAGAACTTCTAAAATTAAAAAAGTGTTTGAAAAATTTGAGATGGACCATATAAAAGAAAGGCTAAGAGAAACGGAGGATAAAGTGAGAAATCCTTATCAATATCCTACAGATGTTCTACAATATAATGGAGAAAAATGAGAAACAAACAACACTAAAAAGATAGGGTGAGAATTTTCTATAATTGTTGCAGGACATTATTCCTGAGATTCAGAAATCCTCTTAAATGCTAAGCATGGTTAAAAAAAAAAATTTTTTTTTTTTAAGTAAAGAGAAAAGGAGGGAAGGAAGGAATTCAAACCTAGATTCATCACCGTGAATTGCAAAAATATCAAAAATGTCTTAAAAACAGCCAGAAGAAGGAACGGAAGGTGGAAGATTGGATGCTCTAGATTTTAGATAAAAGTACAGAAAATAAACTAGGTAATTCTCATTAGGACTCAGGTAAATTTCCTTCGCGATTCATCAGTCTGACAGGTAACTCTCCTGATTAAGAACTGTGGAAAAGTCTAGTGTATAAGAAAAAGCAGGGAGAAAAGAAATGCAAATGAATAACGTGTTTCAGCTCCAATCTGAAAAACAGAAATAAAATATTAAATTATGAACTAAAGACACACTTCCCTGGGGGGGGGTGGGGAGTAAAGACAGGTGGAAAATAACAATACCTAATCTCTATTGAGTGTTAACGTCTTTAAGAAAAAGGAAACAAACTCAGCAGTGAAGGGCTAAATACAACACGGTTGAACAAATGCGGGAAGTAATCGAAAGAAAAAGACAACGTACGGGGTGACAGACCTCTAACACAGCCTATTTATTCAACCTTATATAGTTACTGCAAAAATAACACATTAGATATTAAGACATCATCCGTTATTCTTGGTTGCTCACTTTTTTTTCCCGTGCAGGTGTACGTATAGGTCAACTCTATTAGAATGCAGACGAGACGGATCTCAAAATATAAAGTAGAACTATTGATGCATCTTTCAATACAGGAAATATTTATTCCATGTTCTAAGTGTAAACTATTTTAGTTATACGGTAGCCAACCAGACGTCCCATTTGTATCTTTAGGATTGTTTACTAAGGGTACATTCCAGCAATGAGCTGTTTTAGACAATCCCAATTGCCCGAACTTTGCTGATTATTCTAGCATTAGAACCTTCGCCGTCTGCCTAGCACTACTTGAAATCCATGACTCACAAACGTCGGGGCATGGAATCACAGCAAGAAAGAACAGGTGAAAAGTTCTTCTCAGTTGTGTTCTGCAGGAGCATACAACTCCCGTCATACCCCGTGCAAAAATCAACAAATAAATAGCGGCACCGCATTTCAGATTCTGCTGCGCACGGCTCGCACCGGCGCCTGGTTTTTGTAGTTTCCACATGGAGAACTGCCAACAAGTTCAAGCTTGTTGGGGAGGGACTAAAACTACACTTCCCACAAGGGCGCGGGGGCGGGGTCCAGTCGGTTTACGTCATTGATTCAGCCAGCCAATGACCGCCCCGGGCGGCAGTGAGGCAGGCGCCGTCAGGCGCCAAAGTGCTTTTTTTTTTTTCTTTTTTTTTTTTTCCGCCGGAGCCGAGCGGGTGCTGCTAGCGGAGGCGCCATATTGGAAGGGACAAAACTCCGGCGACAGCGAGTGACACAAATAAGCCCCTGGACCCCCTCGCTCCCCCAGCTCTAAGGGCCGCGATGTTGTACCTAGAGGACTATCTGGAAAGTGAGTGGGCGGCGCTGGCTGGCCCGTCCGGGCTGCCTGCGGGCGGGTGAGGGCGGCAGTAGACCGGCTGGCGGGATGGCGGGAGGGAGGGGGAGGCGGGGGATGTTTCTTTCTCACGGTAACTGGCAGCCTCGTTGTGGGCTGCGGGCTCTCTCGACCCCCCTCGACGCACGCACTCACGCAGTGACGTAAGCGCGTATTTTCGCCGTTGGCCCCGCCCCTCTGACGGACTCTCCCTTTGACAGTGATTGAGCAGCTTCCAATGGACCTGAGGGACCGCTTCACCGAGATGCGCGAGATGGACCTGCAGGTGCAGAGTAAGTCGGCGCGTTTGCCCTTGTTCGCTGCGCGCGTTCAGTGACAGACTTACGTGCCATCGACGTCAGCGGCTCTGCTGTTTGGCTCTCCTCCGGCTCATTCGCTAGTACAGAAGGAGTTGTCAAAAAGAACTGGCAATGCCAAATCTTGCCTCTTCTGTCTACCACACTACTTTTCTCCTGACTTTTACAAGAGAAGGTGGCATTAGAGCATATATGCTCCTTTCTCGAATTTGGGACTGCAATAAAAGTTTCTGTACTTTCTTTGAGAATGTAGATACGATTTAGTGCACATCGGCATAAATGTTGTGAAGATTCTGACTTGAGACTTTATGTGTAGAACATAGATTTCAGCATTTATATTTTTGTTAAAGTTCATGCTAGGCAAAATTCAAAAGCGGACAACACATAGAAGCACAGGTTGTATGTAGTTCTTTAGAGACCGTCGTGAACTTGGAATGTCTCATTTGAAAAGTTACAAGATAAAGGATGCATTCTCAACTGTCAAACAGTATGATAGTTTGTCAGTAAAAATGGGAAAGGAAATAAAATTTTACAGTAAAGCTTCTTGTCTGCTGTAGCAAAATTTTTTATTTTTCTTTCAGTTATAGCTTGGTAGTCTGCATACTTTTTCCATAAAATAACCTTGCTGTTTCACAGAGCAGTATTTAGTTTATATGATCATGTTTTTGATTTAGAGAGAGTAAGAATAAATAACTTTAGAGGTAACATGGTAAATACAAGGCAAAATTTTGAAACACAAAAACAGTGCTCAGTACCCTTGTAGTCCATCATGCTCTGAAAGAACCTCACATACCTTCCCCCTTTGTGGAATGAGTATAATATAGCTGATCCAGCTGTCTTGTAGAGATACTATATTAAAAATTAGGAATGTGAAGTGAATTATGTGATATGTAATTAAAACGTATAATCCAGTGTACTTTGTTGGCTGTGTGTCACTCCTTTTGGTTTGGAGAAGTGTATGTACTCCTTAACTGTTTGAGGGCTATTCCTGCAGAAGACATTTCTTGATCCCATGTGTTCTGGCTGTATTTAGACCAGACATAGAATTAGGATTGAGGTAAATTTCTTGTGCTGACAGATTTTCTTAAGAAAAGTATGGTTAGGGGAAGATCTGGGTTTTGGGGGTGTGATAGGCAGGAAGGGAGTATCACGGAAAGCAATCAAGAGAACAGAACATTCCAGAGTGGGATTCTTGAGGTCACTAAGAACCTGTCCCCCCACTTCTCTACCGTTGCTGCACACACTTCCATACCCATTAATCATGACTGTTCTTTTCTCAGCCTCCTGTTGGTTTTATGTGGTACCAAATGCAAGGTGATACATCATGGAAGTCACCTGTTCACATTATAGTGTAGAAGTCTGAATTCTGTATTTCTTCACCTTGCTCACAAAATTCGTTTTAATGTAATTGAAATGGTAAATATTTGCTAAAGTAGTGTTTTCTACAGGATGGAGCGTAGTCATCAGGTAGATCTGAGTTCATTTTAGGGCTTTACTGGCTTAATTCATTGGCCTTGACCACATTACCACTTCTGAGAGATTTTTATTGTCTTGAGGATTAAAAGAAATACACATAAATTAAAATGTTTAGTACCTGATACTAAGTGGGCATTCAATAAAGGGTAGTTGTTATTTTGTACTTTATATCACAAATGTTAAGTTCTCTTAACAATTTTGACTTGGTTATATAAATCAGAGTTTTTTTCTAAACTTGCATTTTTTACAATAATTAGAATTGTCTAAATGTAATAGGTATTATAGGTTAACAAAAGATACCTCTTTGTAAGGTAGGAGATGCACTATTATGCACTGCAGATCTCCCAAACAATATAGTAAAAAGTTTTCCTCAATTTACACAGCAACAAAATCCCTTTTATTTTTCCTCTTTTAGCATAGAAATGACTGTTCTTAGCACACATTTCAGAAAAAACTTACCTCAGATAAATAATATTGTATATGTGGTGCTTAATGGTGTATAGCAAAAGGTTAAAACCTTTTTATCACATTTTCTTATTGAAAGAAAAGTGAGGATTATCTAGTAGTGCTTTCAGTAAGGAATTGTGTTTGGGCACATCTGCCTGACTTAATACCATTATTTTGTGAACCCCAAGCCTGTACTAGTCAGCAACAATGGGATGGAATCTATCTACATTTGCTGACTACTTTGACTATCGGAAACAGTTTTGAAGTTACAAAAATAAATTTTCATTAGGGGAAAATTATAACTTTTACTAAGGTAATTAGTAAATTATATTACATTTATAAATATATTTATAAAGTATACTTATATTATTAGAGTATATATAGTACATTTATATTAGCATATAACATATATTTATTATTACATAAAGCATATTTATATTATTACAACATGACATATTTAAATTACAGACCAAGTAAACAAATGTATGTGATCAGATATTTTACAAAATAAATTGCAAAAATAAATTGTCAGTAGGGAAAGTTATAACTTTTCTTTACAAAGATAATTAAGAAATGTTTATTTATTTTATTAGAATGTGACATATTTAAGTTACAGACCAAGTGAAAGAGTGTATGTAGTCAGATATTTTCATATCATATCTTTCTTCACATCAAAGCATGTATATTCAGTATATGAGTTTGGTCATCTAAGTATGAAATGTTTTTATTATGTCCTAGATGCAATGGATCAGCTAGAACAAAGAGTCAGTGAATTCTTCATGAATGCAAAGAAAAATAAGCCAGAGTGGCGAGAAGAACAAATGGCATCCATCAAAAAGGTGTGTCCAACACTCTGGATGATTTATCTGTAAATATTGAAACTCTCCGAGGAGGATAGGGGATTCCCAGGAGGCGAGGTGGTAAAGAATCCACCCGCCCGTGCAGGAGACTTAAGAGACTCGGATTTCATCCCTGGGTCAGGGAGATCCCCTGCAATGGGAAATGGCAACCTGCTGCAGTATTCTAGCCTGAAAAACTTCATGGACAGAGGAGCCTGGCAGTCTACAGTCCACGGGGTCACAGAAGACTGAACACGACTTTCAGCAGTTGAAAATTGGACGTGACTGAGCACAGTACAGCTGAGGAAGATATTTTAATATTAAATAGTTCAGGGGATATCAAAATAAGGGAAAGTTATCAATAGCTCTTTAGAATTTTAACATGACTTACAAAATTAAAAATGATTCATTACATTTTAGAGCTTCAGGTGTAGGAACTTTTAAACATTGAAGCATTTTGGTAATTTAGAAAAGTATTTCAATAATTAGTGACTAGTTAGAGAATTACAAAACCATTTAAAAAGTAAATTTGTTTTCTTTTAATTTGTTTTGTTCTAGTTACAGGTAATTAAAGTCCCCTTGTCTTAAAATCTATTGGGTCAGCCAAAAAGCTCGTTCAGTTTTCCATAAAATGTTATGGAAAAACTCGAATGACCTTTTTGACCAGCTCAATATAGTGTCTTCCAATTTGGGCAACAGACTGGGATGAAAATTAGCGACCTTGAAACGTATTTCATATATTGCTAAGTATCTAGGTTGGTGGAATCATAGAACAGAATCTTGACAAGTTTTGTAGTACTTATAGCTCCCTTCCAGATTAGAATGGGTAGCAGCTCTCCCCTCAAGGTTTGCTTTAAAGATATGATCTAGTTAATTTGGGGACTTATTGGAAGAACTATTTACAAGCCCTGGGTTTGGTCATGACTCTGCAGTTTGACTTTGTGATATGGGACATGTCCTTTAATATCTCTGAGTAAATTATCTCCCTTACCCCTAACCTTCATATAATTTTTCAAGAATCAACTGAGAAAGAAATTTGGAAACTACTTGTGTTATTTATTTTACCAGATGGAGGGAATATTATTTCTGTTAGGAACACAAACTTGAGAATCTTTCATAGAATTAACCCTGACTTGCCGGATACCTGGAGGCCCAAGTGTGTATGAGTATAGACATCACACATATACATCCTAAAGTCATTCATCATCCTTTTTTCCTACTAGGTTTTTGGTGTAGCACAGCTTGGATATACCCTAAAAACTCTTGACACTTCATGGAAATTCATAGAATTTAAGAAAAATAGTTTGCTTTATTCTGGGGAGAATTGATACCTAGCTTAAAATGAGAGTTACAGAACAACTGGAAACAATGGATGTGCAGGTCAGAAGCCTTTCAGTAGTTGCTTATAATAAGTTTTAAAAATGGAAGAGTGTAAATATTCTTTATAAATTAGATGAATCCTAAATAACATTTATTTTTAAAGAAAAAGAATTACTCATTGGCTCACATAATTTTTACTAGTATACTTAGACTTGGATGGTGTTTTTTGGCTATCTCTTTTCTAGGAATTCTAAACATCTTCCTTTAATCCTTGGTTGTGGTCTAAAATTTCTAATCCTATCCCATCCCCACCCTATCCCTAACTGGATTTTTATGGCTCTTGTATAATGTGTATTCCTGAATGCTTAGTCACTCAGCCATGTCTGACTCTTTAGAACCCCATGGACTGTAGTCCACCAGGTTCCTCTGTCCATGGGATTCTCCAGGCAAGAATAATGGGGCAGCTAACTGTTCTGTTTTCCAGGGGATCATCCCAACGCAAGGACTGAACCTGGGTCTCCCTCATTGCAGGTTGATTCTTTACCATCTGAGCCACCAGGGAAGCCCTGTAATGACTGACAGAGATAACAAGCCATGATAATGAAAATGCAGTTACAGGTCCTGGATATACAGATTTTTAAATCATTAATTTGTTCCTAAAATGTGAATGTTTTTATTCAGGATTACTATAAAGCTTTGGAAGATGCAGATGAGAAGGTTCAGTTGGCAAACCAGATATATGACTTGGTAAGTAAAAATTAATAGCCATAAGTATTTGAATTATGGATTATGTTTTAAATGGTGTTGACTTAAATGTAATAGGAAGGACAGACTCAACTGAATTATTGCTCTTGTGATCCCATTTAACTTCGGAGTTTACTGTCCACTTTTGGTTTCTTTGTGGACGAGAGAAAGTCCACAGTCAGTAAATTAAGAACCTTACATTTAGCCATATCTATGTCACTGGAAGATTGTAGCTGATGTTAGGCTTTTTTTTGTATTAAAATAGGTGTTTAACTTTATTTACTAATTTTTATCTTAAGGTAGTGTGTTTACTTGCGTGATAAATCATCTTGAGATTGTTTCTGTGGCAGAACACACCTAAGGGGATTGTGCTGACACTTCTTGGTAGTCTGATTAAAATGAAGAAGGGACTTATTTGAATCTGTTAATAGATAGTACTCAACTATCTATTAAGTGATAACCAGTAGATAGTACTCAAGAACCAGCACAGGTGGCAAAACTGGGAAATATAAGATTAAATAAACTTTAAATTTTTTTTTTCTCTTTTTAACAGTAGCAGCAGCACTTCTTAATGATTGAAATCACTAAGAAGATAGATATATGCACCATTTCTCAGGTTGTTATAATTATAGTCTTTTTTTTTTTTAAACATACAGCATCTCCCAAAGTTTATGTTTTAGGAAATGCTCTTTTTTGGTTCTGCCTCAAAGCAAGTTAAAGCTGGAGACAAATGCTCCCTTTTGATTTGCTTTAGCATATTGATTCATATCTTATTTTTGTAGTCTTGTCTGGGTACAGTTTTTTTTTATTGAACGGGTACATGTTAATATAGGTGTCATTGGTGAGCAAGACACAGATAAAAGGTACATACCCCATATGCTATGCATTGTGAGTGCTATACTAGAAAGCATATGTTGTGTAAAACCACAGAAAATGGCTAATTGCTTTTATATAGTGAAAATATTTTAATGGCTGTAAAGACCTAGGCTCTTCTGTTCATACTGTTACTCTAAAAACAGTTTCATGAAGGATGCTGCCTAAAGACAGGTAGAGTGGGCTGGTGGCTTGATTTGTGGTGGAATGAAACCCAAATAAAGTTATTAATTGTTTTGGTCTTGAATTAAGTCTATAAACATAGAGAAAGACATTTATATTTGAATACAAGGCTAATTTGTTTAGTATCATTCTTCCTCACATATAGTAACTAGTTGTCAGTCTTTATTTAGAAACTACCTGCCTTATAAATCATATAGCTCTTTGGTTCTAATCTTTCATTTCTATTTTATTTTACTACTTTTACACCTTTATTGAAAGTATTTCATGCATTTAGAAAAAGTATATATAACAAACATATGCTTTTTAAANCCTTATAAATCATATAGCTCTTTGGTTCTAATCTTTCATTTCTATTTTATTTTACTACTTTTACACCTTTATTGAAAGTATTTCATGCATTTAGAAAAAGTATATATAACAAACATATGCTTTTTAAAAGTGTGTATATCCATTTCTTGACTCTATACTTGGTGTAATGGAGTTTTATGTAGGTACAGTGGAAGAATGTAGAGTAAATGTTATAAATGCTCCTGTCCTCAAGGTGCCTGTTACTTAGTTGAGAAGACATGCCCACAGTAAAATGGGGCCTGTTATAGAAACATGTTAACAAATAAAGAGAATACATTTGGATATTAAGGGGATCTGGTAAAGATTGAACTAAATCAAGCGGAGTTACTGTTGGCTTCTTAGAGGGTATGAGATGAGTTTTGAACAGAATTTATTTAGAGCCTCAGGTGCCTGGATTCAGCATAGTATTGAGGGGAAAGCATTTCACTCAGAGGTCATGGAGAAACATAGAATGAAAATAAAAATTAGGAGTTATGAGGGAGATGGATTATTTAGGCTAGAGATTGAAGTAATCAAAAGTGATGTAACAAAGTGAATGCAAATGTAATGAATGTGTTAAAAACCAAGGACCCGTAATGGACTCATGCAGATGTGAATTCAGCTACTTCACTGACAGCAGGAATTTGGAAAAATGATATAATCCTGGAACTTCGGTTTCCTTATCTGTAAAATCACAGTATTGATTTGTGCCTTCCAGGATGATTGGATCAATCGTTGTCTGGCTTTCTTTCTCTCTTTCAACAGAGAGAGATAGAAATACAGATACAGGTACATCTGTGTGTATATATATATATATATATATATATATATACACACACATACACACACACATATATCTAAATGTTCAAGCTGGTTTTAGAAAAGGCAGAGGAACCAGAGATCAAATTGCCAATATCTGCCAGATCATCAAAAAAGCAAGAGAGTTCCACAAAAACATCTATTTCTGCTTTATTGACTATGCCAANTCAGTCCTGGGTGTTCATTGGAAGGACTGATGCTGAAGCTGAAACTCCAATACTTTTACCACCTCATGCAAAGAGTTGACTCGTTGGAAAATACTCTGATGCTGGGAGGGATTGGGGGCAGGAGGAGAAGGGGGAGACAGAGGATGAGATGGCTGGATGGCATCACCGACTCATTGGGCATGAGTTTGAGTAAACTTCGGGAGCTGGTGATGGACAGGGAGGCCTGGCATACTGCAATTCATGGGGTCGCAAAGAGTCGGACACAACTGAGCGACTGAACTGAACTGTCTCTGTATCTCTTACCTATATCTATCTACACACACACACACACACACACACACACACATACACCCCCCACACCCACCCACCTCATAGCTTGGCAGATAGTAGACCCTCACTCTCTCATAAACTCGTTTCATCTCATTTCTCTAACAAGTTTTCTACTTTCCTGAAGCCACTGCATCCCTTTCAGCTCTGCCAAGTTAAATCTGTTTCCCCCCGTTCCCTCATGATTTATTTCTAAGACTGCCTTTTGTCTTTACTCTCTCCTGCGTCTGTCCCTTCCTTTCTCTCCCCTCTCCTTTCATTTACTTCCCCCCCTTCTTTCTCCTTGCATCTCATTAAATACTCGAGTGCTATCCCAGGTGACCATGGTATCCTTGTTATATAAGCCATCCTTCTTGAGATTTCATGTTAATTCATCATCCTCCCACCTTCGTGGCCTTTCTCAGTCTCCTTGGGTATTGCTCAGAGTGGTTGGGGTTCAAAAGGGTTCTGTCCTTGACCTTTATTGCTTGTTACCCTGTTCTCTTGGTTCTCTTGTAGAGGTAATTTCCTCTCATCTTCATCCCCAGCTCCAGAGGCTGATGAGACCAAATGCCACACAGTAAAGCATTGTTCTGTCAAATGCCAGTTTTCCTCTCCTCCCCACCCCCCACTCACCACCCAAGCTGAGAAACATTTTTCCATTACTTTTCCACGTGAACACTTAGTTTTAGCAATTATACCATAATTATTCTTCAAGTCCAAACTTCTCCTCTGAGTCTGTTCATCTTATCTAAGAATTGCTAGGCCCTGGAAGTCATCATATTAAGAGTTAACTCTTAGCTTCTTGTTTTACTTCTGTCACTAACATCATTTCTCATGAATAAATAATTGTTAAAATGTTAAAAATCAATTATGCACTCTCATTAAATTCCTATCGCATTTAGCATATGGAATGTTAGAGTGCTCTGTGCTGCAGAGGTGAGTGGACAGGATATAGTATAAGTGTCAAAATACAGTAATTTTTATTTATAGATCCTTTACCAAATAAACAGTGGTACTTCTGTCTGTAAGTTCTACATAGTGGGAGAGTATAACTTTCACTCATTCAGCAAATATTCATAGATGTCCAGATATGAGTGGTCACTGGTGCAGAATGGGCAGTAATGATATAGTTGGGCAGTGAATAGGGCAAACTATTAAATAAAAATTATTGGAGACTTTGCGAAGTGCTCTGAAGGAAATAAACATTGTGGAAAGAAGGGGAAAGAGTGAATAACCAGGGGAGGCTATGAGGAGTCTGCTCATCAGGATGAGCATAGTCCTGAGGAGGTGACCTCTGAGGTAGTACTGGTAGAACCAGCTATGTGACAAGCTTAAGGAAGAACATTTCAAGCAGATGATGGACCAAGTGCAGTGTCTTAGGTGGAAAAGGGTCTGCCAGATTAAACCAGGACCGAGGCCAGTGTGGGTGGTGCGTCCTGAAAAAGAAGAAGAGTGGTATGAGAGGGACACGAAGAACCCAACACTTGCAGGGCTTAAAGCCAGTGGAGCAGTGCTCTTAGTTTCACAGCAGCGGGAGGCCAGTGAAGGATTGTAAACTGAGGCATGGAATACACTTTGGAGAAGATTGTGTGTATGGCTTTGCCTAAGCATATTATTATTATGACAGTGTAAAGTAAGCAGGTATTATTTTTACAGATTTTAAGATACAGCATTTGAGTATAGTTAATTGTTTGATATTGCCTCTCAATGTTTTCTATTGCACAGTGTTTAATTGTATTCTTTTCCATTAAAATAGTCTATTTACTTTTAAAACCGGTAGTAAATTTATTTCTGTGACCAGCACAGTACTACCTCATTTATTAAGGAAAAACAAAAGAGACCACATAAATATCCACAAATGAAGAAATTTTGAAATTAGACGTTTATTGAAACAAATGAAGACTTTAAGTAGGCTTAGTGAAATTTGACTAACAGACCAAAAAAAAAAAAAAACTGTCTTATTAAAATAATTTCCTGCTAGAATCCTGATACTCATAGTCATTAAACACTTTTTTGTGTTCCTCAGCCAGATGTCACTGTCATAAGGCCGTGTTAGATTACAATACCTAATAAAGGTGATTTATACATACTGTGATAAAGCTTGAGCTTTTTGTGAATGCCTGAATGGTTTTAGCAGCCTCTTACATTGCTAAATACCCTTGAACTTGCTCCTTTTTTATATCCTGGTTTATTCCTCAGATGATTATATTTCAGGCCCACATTTTACCTATAAATTTGAGAATTCCTCATCTGATACTCTAATTAAGGAAATGTATTATATGAGCTTGACCTTTTGATTTGTCTCCTATCCTTATTGTCTTTTAGGAGAATGATTAGATGTAGTTTATGTGCTAAGGCCTTAAGTATTTGATTCACCCTAAAGATGGATCAAATTTTTATCCAGCTTAAGTATAATTCAGAATGTGAAGAATCATTTTCCTGATTGATCATCAGAGAAATAATTTGCCATCATTTCCTTTCTTCTGCAGTTTACCCTCACTATTACTCGATCTCTTCATGAATAGAAATTTCTCTTATTGCCATGGTTTTCAACTTAGAACCTTGTAGTCTGAGTGCTCACTGGGAAAGGGCAGCTCCGCATCGAACTTTCAGAATTTGTCAGTGTTGGAAGCCATAAAATCATGGAAAAACTTTTAAGAAGCTATATTTAGTTCAGTTTGAGTCCATCAGGTGACACATTTTGAAATTTGAATATTGGAAAACTGGGAGAGACAAGAGAGAAAGGCTAAAGGATTACAGCTCTATGCAAAAATAATTAAAGGCTGAGGATTTATTTGTTTCATGCAGAGGCCAAGTGTGACTTAAATGTTTTTGTGAACTTAAATATGTTGAAAAATAATCTTGACAGAATTTCCTTTGTCTCTGAAAAGGTCAGAAGGATAGTACATTTAAAGAGATTATGCTTTGGGGTTGTAAGATATGATTTAGGGTTGTAGAATAAGGAAACATCTGTGGCTGTCGTTTATTGGCATTAACTGGGGAACAAATCAATAATTAGGCTTTGTGGTCAGCCTTGTGTTAGAAACCTATGGTTAATGGAAGGTTTCTCAATTGGCTCAGTACCCTGTTTACTACTATAAATCATAAAATGGCTAAGATGGAATAACTTGGATTCTGATTTGCCTCATACCTGTGGGGCTATTATGGTGATCAGCTGGATTGGTGCTTTACCTGTTTAGAGTCATGTGTGGGGTTGGCCACAATGTTTGTTTGGATTTTTTCAAATCGTGATACAGGAAAACCTGAAATGAACTTTTTGACCAACCCAGTAGGTAGTAATAGCTTTCAGTCACGTTCAGTTCAACCCTTACTCTGACTGTTCAATACCGTTTTAAATATTCTGGCGCTTTATAGCTGAAGTTAACCTTGTGACCTGCTCCTTCAGATTTGATCTAGTACAGCAGTGGTGAACGAATAAAGAGAATTCTCATCATCTGATAATTGCTTATAATAGTAGTCAGTTCATAGTCTCTTTTAATCTACTAGGAGGTGGGAATGATTGGAAGCTATCTTACAAAACTCCCCATCATGGTGTGGTTGAGGCCTTTCTGTCTTTGTTTATTTTAATTATGAATTTGGTTTTTTGAGTTATTAATTCTTTGGGTCCCTTTGCTTTTTCTGAGCTATCTAATATTGGGAATTCCATTGTTATTTCCGTATTTTCAGGTATAATAAACCTTACTAGTACTGTCTTTAATATAACTAAGTGGCTCTTAAAAGCAGAGATGGCATGGGTCAGGGAGGTATGTGTCCTTTCTTCATTTCACCCCAGCCCACCCTCCCAACTGAAGTGCTAACACTTGTCTTCTGTATTGTCTACACCTATGCAGGCTTGAATAGGAGCATGTGTCTATAATATATGACCCTATAGGATTTTAAATATTGTAATTACAGCTTTTACCAAGCTCTGAAAAATAACATATGTGTGAAGATGGAAGGAAAATTGGACTTTGAATTATTGAAAAGTCACAAACCAGCATCCCAATGATTGCTGTTAATATACAAAATATAAATAATAAGACAATATTTTTAAGTTTTTTCTATTTGAATTGTATTACTTTCAGTTAAGAAATTGGCTCCTGCATGTGGAAATTCAGAAGGCAATGTTAGGTATAAACATTGAAGCACAATTTATTATAAACAGATCAGAGTTAAGTCTTGTTTCTTTAATGCAGTATCTATTGAATTTGCAGGTGTTGCTTAACCTTTCTGAGCCTACTTTCTTCACTTATGAAATGGAGACATTACTAGCCTACTTCAAAAGATTTGAGCAAGGACTAGAAAACATAGTCCTTTTAATGCCCCAGACACATTTCCTGGCATCTAACACCCACAGATTGTCTCTTGGTGTTCTTCTTCCCTACGCCCTCACTTAGATACACGTTATATCATTGAAAGTTTTACTTAATTTTTTTGCCCTCTGATGTATTGGAGACATTTTGATATTTGTAAGAAAGTTACTCTTAATTATGACAGTGATTAAGAGGGACATTAGAATTTGGAAAAAAGGTATTGCTAATAATATGGCATGAATATTTTTCAAGACTTTTTTTTTTGGTTTGACTTCAAAGCAGTAAATTTGAAAAAGTATCAAGATATTTAATATTAAGCTTAAAAAAATACGTGAAGACTTGTTGCTAGTTTGAGATATTATAAAATTTTTGGAAATCAGTCCAAAGATCTCTATGTGAATGAGAATATACAATTTTGCCATCTTAACCAAGTATGACGGTATTTCAGTAAAACCATTTAGACCAAGCTTTTTGTGGAATGGAGCTTTCTGGCTAAAAACCCCTTTTGTTTCAACCCTTTACATAAATGTTTACCAGTATAATGGTCTGCTTTCCTGCCTTAGAGAAATGTATGTGTAAAGTATAGGAGGTTCTTTGTTTGTAGACTGAGGATCTTTCATTCCTTACTGTAAGTAACAGTTACTATGGTCTGGCAGTGTGGATGGTCTTGTTATAAGGAGGAGGAGATTAGGCTGAAAGTAATACCAGGGCATATATGAAAAGTTTCCTGTGCCACCCACCCCTCATCTTCGCTTATGTTTCATAGCCTACTTCCTCCAAACATTTTCTGACAAACTGCAATTCTGGTTTCTTAAAATTTATTCAAGGAGACTTGGGAGGTATTTAGCCTAGCAACCTCATTTTATAGAATAAAAACCTGTAGTGTAGGTTAATTGAGTTGCCCAAGAATTCAAAGCAGATGCACTAAAAGAAGTAAAGATTTAGCCTTCCTCATTAAACTGACACTTTAATATTGTCCCCAATTATGGTAGTTATCTTTGATCTTCTTTGAAACAGGTAGATCGACACTTGAGAAAGCTGGATCAGGAGCTGGCTAAATTTAAAATGGAGCTGGAAGCTGATAATGCTGGGATTACAGAGATATTAGAGAGGCGTAAGTAAAATTTACAATTTTCCATCACCGTTGGACAATACATGTGCACATCACCAAGGAGACACTGGTTCTGCAGAGACTTCTCAGATCCTGCTTCTAGGTGGATGGTGGCACCTGGGTGGGATCACTTGGTACCCAGCAGTTGGACTGTTTGGGTTGTGGATACTTGGAGAAATTATATATCATCCACTCACTCTGTATGACGATAACATATTAAGTCATTTTCTTTTTTTAATAATGTACATATGCCAGTAAGATGAATCGTAGGAGCAAAGATTTAAAGAAATGCAACCATCTTAGAAACAAGTCAGTCATCTGGCATTACATGGGTTGTTTAGGCACTTAAGTGTTGAGGAAAGTGGTTATTTTTTGTTCTTAAGAACTGCCTTAAAGCTTTCCCTCAGTTGTGTTACTAAGAAAGATTTTAATGAGTTCTTCAGCACCTCCTCTTTTTCTTGAAGAAGGCTTTCCTAAACTTCTCTTCTCAGTAAGAAGCTGTTTTCATGTTTCTCTGCAATGCATGTGCTCATCACCGAGGAGATGCTGGTTCCACAGAGACTTCTCAGATCCTGCTCCTTGGTGGAGAGAGGCACCTGGGTGGGATCACTTGGTCCCCAGCAGTTGGACTGTTTGGACTTGATCTCCTGCTGTTATTTACTCTTATCATTCCTAGGGTTTAACTCAGGAGATTTCCCCAAAATGGAGACATGAGCTCTGTTTCTTGAACGAATTTAGCTCTTCCAACCTAAATAGACAGTGTCCATAAAAGCAGATGGTGCCATGGTAAGCCCTGAGTAGGCACTCACTAAATGTTAGTTGAATCAAGTCAGTATTATGGCCGATTTCTAGTATAATTTAACTAAAGGTTCAGGCATCTCTTTTCTTGGTGCATTTCAGGAGCAAGAACATATACCTGTTTCTACACATGGATGAAAGGTTTCTTTAGAGTGTTAGGTTACATATATGTCTATTCATATACTCTTTACAGGTCAGCTAGGGCAGCAACCACACATGAATCCATCTTGGTACAATAGTTGCATTTTTATATTAAAAAATAGGTCCATCACTTTAGATGATTATCTAATTTATTTGTGATACTTTCATTCCAGGGGAGTCCTATCTGAGGATGATAAGTATCTTGAGACAAAATGTTTTATTTTCTTGAAATGCTGATAATAGCTCTGAGTAGCAGTAAATCCATGCCTATTCAGTACCTCAGGGAGGTTAATGAAGCATCCTCTGTAAGGACACAAACATATGAAAGTCGTCAGATCATGTTATGAAAACTGCTCCACCCTGTGCCCTGCCATAATTTCATCTGAAGGGACCAAGATAAACTGAGGACATTTCTTTAAAAGTATGTTAAAGCTTGGAGGTAGAGATTCTGTGTATCACTTTTCACAAGCAAAATCCCTAACTTCTTTTAGAAGTCTTTACATTCATATATCATTTTAACAATCAAAGAATTTTCTTTCCTATAGTAATGTCCCATCGCCTGATACTTTAGGATCTCCCATTAAGAGGTCTTCAACTCAGATAACACTAGGTTGAGTTTTTCAGGTCTCATCAGTAATGAAATTATAACATCCATTCGTCCACGCATGTGGTACCAAATGTGGTGAATTCCTTAACCAGACGTTAGCATGCCTTGACCCATTTTGTACTTAAAGGTGAAGGTTAAAAAATGGATTCCTTACTGTTGAGAAAGAGGATGAGATTGGCCCAGGGTAAAATTGGCAGTGATGGCCCTCTAGTGTGTGTGACTAAAAGGGCACGGGCATAGACATCAGAACTTGCTGGTCCTCTGCTGGTTAAGGGTCCACAGTCCTGTAGTTGATTGATGTCTAAAGTTCTGTGGTGACATCTCATGGCAGTGTATCTCTGTGCTTCTCTCTCTTTTTTTGTGTGTTTTTTTTTTTAGGATCTCTGGAATTAGACACTCCTTCACAGCCAGTGAACAATCACCATGCTCACTCACATACTCCAGTGGAGAGTAAGTTTGATTTAGGAGAGCTAAAATCTTAAAAACAATTACAAATTCATTGTATCATCTATATATTCTCTTTCGTTATCTCTGCACAACCAATTGAGAAACAGATATCCTCCCCCTCCCCTTTCTTTTATCTTGTGAGATACAGTTTTTCATTGCAACTACTGGCAGATTTATCTTCTTCATTTGGGAAGAGCATATTTAATTTGGGAACAGGTAGTCTGTTTTCCCTGGCTTTCTCAAAGGAAGAATGTGTGGTACTAACAGCAGTGTATACTCTCTAGATACAAATAACCTGATTCTCCCTACGGAGTGTTCTTTTTCATCCTTTCTTAAGTGCTTAGCCTACTGTTGGCATACAATAAAGTCTCAAACGGTTGAGTTAGTGAGTAAATGAGTGGTTTAGTCAGATGCTAGCTGACTAGATTGACTGTATTGATGCCTTTTTTTGACAAATCAATTTGATATGAAAGAAAAGTTGATTGAAAAATATTTTAAATTGTAGGTAATGTTTTGAAAAAAAATTTCTCTCCTGTTATATATGAAACCACTATGCATCATGGCTTACTTCACTGCTTTGCTACTGAAGTTTTTGAAGTGTCTGAGCAGTCAGCTGTTAATAAGACATGTGGCACGAAGAGTTCTGTTTCTTTTGTCTTCTCAGAAAACATAGTGTTGTTTTGGTTTATAACCAGATGAATGTATTATGCCTTGCCCATAGTTCTCTAAAATTTAAAAACACATGAATTCTTTATTTATATTCAGAAAGGAAATATAACCCAACCTCTCACCATACGACAACAGATCATTTACCTGAAAAGAAGTTTAAATCTGAAGCTCTTTTATCTACCTTAACATCAGATGCCTCTAAGGAAAATACGCTAGGTAAGTTTATTATCTTAAATGTGATTGTTTTCTTTTTTTCAGTTTTTATCAAAATAAAGGGGAATGACAGCATTTAAGGTTAATTATACAGATTCTTTACCTGGTTAGAGTCTACCGTAAGAAGAAAGAAGAAAAAATGTGACATGAAATTTTAAATTTAATGATTATATCTGTGTTGAGAAATAATATGCTTTAAGCTTACTAACATTTTGTTCTGTCTAACCGTTTTCATCCCTTTTCTAATTCTACACAGGTTGTCGAAATAATAATTCCACGGCTGCTTCCAACAACGCTTACAATGTGAATTCCTCCCAACCTCTGGCATCCTATAATATTGGCTCCTTATCTTCAGGAACTGGTGCAGGGGCAATTACCATGGCAGCAGCTCAAGCAGTTCAAGCTACAGCTCAGGTAAAAAAGAAAAGGTTCGGAAACAGAATGTTAAGTTTTGTCTGAATCCTTGGCAGACTCTAGTAGAAATAACCTGATGTGAACAAAAAGAGTTTTCTTGCATTGTATGGTTTCATTTTTAATCCTAGTTTTATGACAGCTGATATTTAAAGAAATAAATATGCAGAAATTTGATAGTGAAAAGTAAAAAATAGATTCATACAATCTTGTATAGATCGCTTCTCAGAGTAATTGCTCAGGACACACAATTTTCCTGACTGTAAGTCATAGCTCCTGCTGGGACAATACTTTATTCTTTCTTCCAGTTCCAGGGCTTTCTCTGTAGCCTTAGAACTTAGGTTGCCTTGAGTTTGTTCACGTCTGTGCTGGCTATCTATATTCCGAATTAAGTTACCCATCCTGTAGTTAACCTCATAACTGGGTAAAAACTGATCCTAAATCTTTATGTAAAATAACTTAAATTACAATGATGAACATAATGGTTTAAAACAAAATAATATTAGATAAGCCAAAATAATGCTGTAAATACTAAGACAAAAGAAAATATGCATATTTATATGTATTAATAATATCAGTGACTGCCTTTTTTAAGATGAAAGAGGGACGAAGGACATCAAGTTTAAAGGCCAGTTATGAAGCATTTAAGAATAATGACTTTCAGCTGGGAAAAGAGTTTTCCATGCCCCGGGAAGCCGCTGGCTATCCTTCATCGTCAGCGCTCATGACTACATTAACACAGAACGCCAGCTCATCAACAGCCGACTCAAGGAGTGGGAGAAAGAGCAAGTAAGTTTTATTGTTATAGTAGCTCATACCTTTACTGAGTGTGCAGGCTACCTAGCATCCACCTGGACTTCTGTGTAGTAAACAGAGGCAGCTTCCCAAATGGCTCAGTGGTAAAGAATCTACCTGCCAAATAGGAGACCCGGGTTCAATCCCTGGGTCGGGAGAAAGATCCACTGGAGTTGTAAATGCAACCCACTCCAGTATTCTTGCCTGGGAAATCCCATGGACAGAGGAGCCTGGCAGACTATAGCCATGGGGTCACAAAGAGTCAGGCACGACTCAGCACGCAGATACACACACACACACACACATACACACGCACACACACACACACACACACATATATATAATGGGTCAGGATGAACTCTGGGTAGGTGGGAAGACATGACATTTCCTTCACACTGACTTATGTTGAAAGAGGTAAAGTCCTTAAAAAGTTCTAAGAAACCTTAATTTTTCTAAAGTCTTAAATTGGGGATATTAATAGATGACCTCTCATTACTTTCTTTTGTTCATTAAGATAAACCATTTAATGAAACCTTTTCTGACTTATAACCCCTTATTCCGTCATGTGTTTTCTGGTCTTCATTTTAATTAAAAACAAATTGTCTTAGTCCTTGGTATTATGTCTCCTAAATTGAAATTATGAAAATATTGCTAGATTTTGTAGATATGATTCTTAGCATGATTGTATGAACTTATACATGTGAAAGGGGCTTCGCAGGTGGCGCTAGTGGTAAAGAACCTGCCTGCCAGTGCAAGAGACATAAGAGACGTGGATTCAATCCCTGGTTCCAGAAGATCCCCTGGAGGAGGGCATGGCAACCCACTCCAGTATTCTTGCCTGGAGAAGCCCACGGACAGAAGAGCCTGGCGGGCTACAGTCCATAGGGTCATAAAGAATCAGACACGACTGAAATGACTTAGCACGCATATGAAAACTTAATAGCACTTGGCACCATCTTTCCAAAGTACCTGCATGTGTTAGGTGTTCATACATAATGAAAGTTCAATTGCTAGTCCAAAAGAATTATATCATAATTGTATCAATTTATTTTTAAATATATTTTCTGTCAGTAAATGATGTATTTTCTGTGTTCCTGTGCTTCCTGTGGATGAATCTCTAAAAAGAGTGATCAATGTAGAATTACCACAAAAGTGCTAAATATCTTAAAAATTCATTTCGTGACCCAAATTTATTATAACTGCTGATGATAAAGTTTCGTATTTTAAAAACTTAATAGCATATGTATAATGGTGAATTTCTTGTGAATTTTAACACACTCTGCTTCATGTTCTACACAGGTGAGTATTCCCATATCAGTTGATGGTTATCATTTTCATCAAATGCTTAGGTGTATTTGTATTTTTGATTCTGATCAAGAGTATTCAGTTTGCTTAAAAATACAAAGAATAAAAAAAAAATACAAAGAATGTCTGTACGGAAGCCACAACTAATTCTTAAAATTATTGCCTACTGTTTAAACCAGTGGTAAGAAGTAACAGATTAAAAGTTTATTCTAAAAACTTTGAAGTATTTTAAAAGAATTTCCTTTGAATATCTTTGTTTTCTAGAAAACAAGAAAATCTGAAACAAAAATAAGCCATTATGGAAAATGTTACTCTTTTTGCTCTAAACAGTTGTGCTTTTAAATCCATTTATCAGATGGCTTGAGGGTTAAAGAGTATTTTCTGTGTTTATTGTTATTTCATTTCATGCCATTAATTAGAAGTTATTCTCAATTAAGTTCTTCTGGATGCTGAAAAATAAAACTGATACTGCTTTTTCAGAAACAACAACAAGTCTTCAAGCCAACAGTCATCATCTTCTTCCTCCTCTTCTTCCTTATCATCATGTTCTTCATCATCAACTGTTGTACAGGAAATTTCCCAACAAACAACAGTAGTACCAGAGTCTGATTCCAACAGTCAGGTTGATTGGACTTATGACCCAAATGAACCACGATACTGCATTTGTAATCAGGTAAAAGTCTGACATGTCTATAAAAGCATAATCTGAATAAAATAGGAAAAGAGCTGCTTCATTTTTTTAGTGTTCTTTTTGCTCCAGTAAAATACCTTTGGTTTTTTATTATATCCTCCTCCTGCTTCTGATAAAAAGACATGTTCATGATGACTGCAAAACCGTCCCAAGAAGACCATTGTAAACTGTCTTCTGGGATGCTTGGTGGAAATGATGAATGAGATTTCTATGAATACTGTGTCGCACTCTCTTTGATCCCTCTCATTTTTGCTCTTTGGAGTGCTAAGATTTTCTGTCAGAGTATAGAACCACTTAATATTTGCACAGTGGAATTTTTTTCCTCTGCACATCTAGAAATAGATAAATACTAAAAAAGGAAAGCTAGGGAAGTCCTTATGTCTTTAATTACAGGTAGGTTGTTCTACTTTATGAGGAAATAAATAAGGCTGAGTATTAAACAAAATCTTTAAAATACATTTAGCTGCTATGTGAGAGACCCATCTTACTTCTTGTCCTTGTGAGTTGGTATCCACATACTCTCCAGCTAGTGATGAACAGCAAAAAGAAAAACGAGAAATGACATGTAATAAACAGATAATTTAGAAGTTTCAATAAAATGGACTACTGACTGCAAAAATATGTATGACCTAACATAACCCAAGAAAAAGTAAAAAAAAAAAAAGCCCAAACTTTATGTTGATAACCAAGAAAGAAACTTAAAATCTTTATTAAAGGAACCACTCAAAAAATTGACTCCTTTGTCAAGGTAGTTTATAGAACAAGTGACTTTCAAAAAGCATGTAATTTCTGTGTTATTCTGTACACCCCAAAATTCTTCCAGAAAAAAAAACCCGATAAACTATATAAAGCTACATGCCTTGTTTCTTAATTCAGTTGTATATTCTGTGTATTTCCCTCTATTTTCTTTATAGTATCATAAACAATTATTTGAATTTAAGTGCTTGTTATATAGTCATAATAAAAATATTTAATTTTCTTTTAACTAGGTATCCTATGGTGAGATGGTGGGCTGTGATAACCAAGATGTAAGTATTAAATTTTTCTACTTAGGAGTGAAAAAACAGGTCTCACATTATTATTACTGGAATGTATATTTTTTGTTTAGTGTGTCTCTCAGTCTAAGGAAACAGGTTTGCAGTTATGCTAATTATATTAAAGCTGGAATAGTCCTCCCCCAAATAAGAGAGTGTCCCTTAATGCGTTCCCTATTGTAACTTTTTTAAAGGTAATTTTATGGTTTTATGTGCAGATTACATTTCTCAAAAGGCATCAGGTTGTATGAAAATTAGAAACACCCTTTTCCCCTTTTGCCAAAGAATTCTGTGTTTGCTAGGATTTGGTTCTCTTATCACAATGAAGAACTGGAGCTTTAGAATAGTACTTTTTTCAGGAGAAGTGATGCACAGGTGAGGGCTCTGATGTGGGTGACTGTCCGCCCATTAGTGTATCTTTTCTACTGTGCTCTGTAGGTGTCAGCCGATAAGAGCCATTTCTGATACTAAAAAACGAGGTTTGGAAGAAAGGAATTCCTGCTTATTTTTCTTGAAGCTTATTTTGGGTTAGAGATATGTTTTTCTTGAATGCTGAGAATATTTTTGTCTAGTAATTTCCACTCCCTTCTTACTGTCAGGCTGCTCAGCTCCCTTTTGTCCGTCTTTTCCTCCAGAGAAGTGACAGAAGCCTGAATTCTAAAGAAGGGCTGATCAATAATGTCAGGATCCTGAGGTTGATAATAAGAGTTTGCAAATTTTAAAACGATTTGAAGGTTGATCAGGGCTGACACACGGAAGTGTGTACCTCCCTGATTTCCAGGCTCCCCGTGACATGGTTCACATGAAAAGGCTCTCCTTCCACCTCCCTCTGTAGACCCGCTTGTGGGCTGTTCACGATGACTGCAGAACCGCCCCAAGAAGACATGGTAAACTGTCTTCTGGGGTGCTTGGTTGAAAAAACAAATGAGATTTCTATGAATACTGCATCACACTCTCTCTGATCCCTCTCATTTTGTGCTCTTTGGAGTGCTAAGATTTTCTGTCAAAGTATAGAACCACTTAATATATTGCACAGTGGAATTCTTTTCCTCTGCACATCTAGAAATAGATAAATGCCAAAAAAGGAAAGCCAGGGAAATCCTTACGCCTTTAATTACAAGTAGGTTGTTCTACTTTATGAGGAAATAAATAAGGCTGAGTGTTAAACCAAATCTTTAAAATACATTTACCTGCTATGTGGGAGACCCATCTTTACTTCTTGTTCTTGTGAGTTGGTATCCACATACTCTCCAGCTTAACAAAAATTAATGATTTGTGTTCATTATTTTAAGATTATGGGAGTAGATTACATGAAGCTCAGAGTTAACAAAGATGCGTAACTTTTTATGTCTCCATTTCCTCATCTCTGAACCCTACCAGTTGGACTAAATGAGTTATAAAACCATCTCCTAGATGTCTAAGTTCTGTTTCCATCAATCTAATTATGCATATTTAATCTGCTGGGCATGTTTTAACATACTTCCTAATCTTTTACTAAAAACTACTTGGCATTTTTGCATTCTAGTGCCCCATAGAATGGTTCCATTATGGATGTGTTGGATTGACAGAAGCCCCCAAAGGAAAATGGTACTGTCCACAGTGCACCGCTGCCATGAAGAGGAGAGGCAGTCGGCACAAATAAGGGAGGCCATTTCGTTTGTGGAAGGAAAAAACTTCAACATTTTATATAGGACTTTAAAAAAAGAAGAAGCAGTGCATTTCCAGGCAACCACTTAAAGGATTTACATAGACAATCCTATAAGATCTTGAACTTAAATTTTATGGGTTGTATTTTAATAATGTAAGTAAATTATTTATGCACTCCTGGTGTGCTCCAAATATTATCCCAGTTAGCCTTGGATGATTTCAGTGGCCAGCGTATGCAGACGTTTGTACTCCTCAGCCATTTTCTCCAAGTAATGGGCATTCTATAATGTAGACTTCAAAGAATTCCAACGATGAAGATTTTAAGAAAAGTATTTTATATTCAACAGGTATGTTCTGCTGCATGTACTGTACTCCAGAGCTGTTATGTAACACTGTATATAAATGGTTGCAAAAAAAAAGTGCTTCTAAAAAGATAATGGTTTTTTAAATGCCTTTATAATAAGCTTTGTTTCTTTGTGAAACTAAATTCAGCGGGCTGAAGGAAATGGTTCATGTGATAAAGTGGGCTGATGTCCTCTAGAGTACCTGGGTACATAAACAGAAACTCCTGTAGGTAAAAACGAATCTGGGCCATTAGTCTTTATATGTTTCTGCATCCAGACAGAGTGCAGTTCATGAGGGTGGGGGTGGGAGGGCTGAGGGGAAAGGGTGTTAAAGTGATAACATTTTTATACCAAATGTGTTTATTTTTTTGTGCAAGTAATCCTTAAAATTGGAATTGTATTAGGTGTTAAAATAAAGTTTTTAAAAAATTACTTGTATTTATACTTTACACACTTAATAATGACAATTTCCTAATTCCAACTAACTTCCAGTTTTCATAATCTCAAAAGGACAGAGGCCCAGGACACAGAATGCTGCGTAATCTGTTATGTCTTTAATAATGCTTGGAATTGTGATACAAAAATAAGGACAAGACATTTTTATGTAAATTTGAAATGCAAATGTATTTTTCTAGAACATCTCCCTGGCTTTTCCTTCAGTCTAAGGGACATGAAAGAAGTCTAATTACAGCAGACTAAATAAAATAATGATTACAGTTGTTTTGACTTGAGGCACTGTGGCCAAAGTGAAGTAGAGAGACCCCTTGGATTGGAGCTTAAAATTCAGTTCTCTTTTTGCTTTTACCACATGTTGGTATGCCAGTTAATTCACTTCTTTAATCACTCTGGCCCTTATTAAACCAGGGTGATGCCAGCTTCAGGATGTCTGTAAGTAATCCTGGAAGTTTTATTCTATAGGTGCTATTTACACTAGAAATTTTGCATAGTGGAAGTTTTATTTAAGGTATAATATTGAGTCTCGTCGGTAGAAAAATCCTTAAAACTTTAGAAATACTTATTATGTCATATTTCTTTTATATTGAAACATACTGGGCCCATCAGATTTATGTTTTAATCAAAACCACTTATGAGCCTCTTAGAACTTATATAGAAAACTGTAAAATCTATGCAATGCTACCCAAAAGGGTATGGATCAGATAGGGGATTTTCAAGGCCTCTTCCAGCTTCGAGATTCCACAGTTCTGAGCTGCTGCAGTCTGATTTTATAACTGGACAGCCCATAAAACTAAGTTAGGTTCGTTTGTGGGTACTCATGATTTTATGATACTCAGTATTTTCATGCAGATTTTATAAACCCTAAAGAAATAATATATAATGTAGTATTCAATTAACTTATTAGCATGTTGCCTGGGGATGCTCAGTGGTATTGTTTAATGTTATACATAATGACTTTTCTAAACTCACGGTTTTATAGGAATTGGTTCAAGGAAGAAGCCTTACGTGCAGCCTTATTTTAAGAGAAAGTTCTTGTCAGAGTCAGGAACATCCCTGTTTCCAGCTGCTATAGCTCGTCCCTTCCAGTGTGTGAATTCCACTACTTGACCAAATCACTCAGAAAAACATTTGGACAAATTTTAAACTCAAACGTTGAATATTTTGAAGCGTGTATAAAGAAGTAAACCAAAATTTTGTGCAATTATTTAGTAATGGGTGGAACCTGTTAATATCTGAGATCTATATAATGGGCCAAACATGGAACTACCTCATCGAAAAAAAATGTGGCCAACTATTAATAATTCTTTGTGACATTTACATCAAGGGGTATATGAGCATTTTTGGTATTATACACATTCAAAATCTTTGTTGTACAAAACTCATGTAACAGTTGGTGGCATAAGAAAAATCCGAATGTGGGTTCACAGTTTATAGGTGGTGAAAATTGAGGCCTTACTGCTGTGGAGTGTATATTAAAATGTTCATGGTGACACATTTGAAGCAATAAATGGCTTAATGAAATGCCTAAATGAAGCTGAGTGTTTGATAAACGTACAATCATTCCTTTTTAGGGCAGTTCATATTTTTACTCTTTTATCCTTCAAAGCAAATTCCACATATTTTAGATTTTTAACCATCTTTGTTTTGTACAATGTTTGTGCCCTTTGCCCTTAGACCTCAGCAATAGTCTTGACATAATGAATTATTTTAGACTTAGAAAAACAAATGTCTAATATACCACAAGGGGTAAGAGTCTCTGAATGTGTAGACATTGCAGTGTTTGCCTTCAACATTCACATTAAAACAAAAATCTTTCAACAGAAGGGTTTTAGGAGAAAAAAGAATATCCTCAAAAATATTCATTTTTATAATCAAACGTTAAGCATTTAGATGCAGAGATTACACAGATGAAGATATTTTTGTGTGTGAGGCGTGTGTGTGAGTGTGTGTGTGTGTGTGTGTTTGTGGGTGGGTAAAAGAAGTGGGAAGGGTGGACATGTTAATAAGTAATTGCTATATTTTGGTAAGTGCTATCATTGGACATACTCATTGTTCTAGGAACACGGAGAAATTTAACTTAAGAGCTATTATTTAAATAAATGATGCCTAAAAACAGATGGTTTTCCAGGCAGGTGAAATGGTTTTAGAGTCATGTACATTCTGGGAATTTAAAAGTCGTCTGAAATGAGTAGATGTGGTATAGGGAAATGTGTTGTCAGAGGAGGAACCTAGAAAACTGAGGGAGTCTATTCATGAGCCGTGAATTCATGAGAGTCTGTTCACTGTGCCCTGCAATTGTTTGTCAGTGGGAGTAGTGATAGCATTTACGTATTGTCAGTTGAATACTTTCTGATTATTTAAGTTTAAATCATGGTACTTTTCTTACTGAAATTATAAGCTAGAGATGACAAAATTAAGACTAAGTCTTGCAAATGGCTGTAAAATTCTAAATTTAAGGTGAATCTTTTCTCCCAATTTTTGAAGCTACAAGTCAGAATTGCTCATCAAGATTTTTAGATTTCCCTATTTAGATGGTAAAATCTAAATTATTAAAACAGATTGTAATTTCTGACCCAGGATCTTAATATTTCATGTTTTGATTTGGCTACAGAGAAAAAGTTTAAAGTGATTTAAAGATGAAATGACTTCAGAATTGTTTTATGTTTAACTGAAGTTTGATACAAGAGACATACCCTCTCCTGGCCATTTCCATTTTAAAGTAGTCAGTCATGTATACCTTATAAGTCAGTATTTTAACTTAATAAATAACTTTGGTTGCACATTATTAGAAGTTTAGACATATTAAAATGTTTATTTGAAAGAAATTTAATAATCTAATAAATTTTTCAGAGCCTTTTACTTTTATCACTCCTGGCAAAGGAGACTGTAAAGAGAACATTATGAGACTTTGAGGTGGTCCAGGGGTTATGATCCTGGGCTCCCAGTGCAGAGGGCCTGGGTTCCATCCCTGGTCGGGGAGCTAAAAGCCGTCATGCCACCCGGTGTGACCAAAAAAATCTATATATAGTCATTATATAGTCATTTTTCTGCTGCTCATTATAAATTCAAAAGCCAATGTGGGAAATGAGCTTGCAGAATGTGTATAGTGTGTGTGCAGCTTATTCTTATTCCTCACTTCTGGCCTGTTAATGACTACGAGTAATTTTTCACAGGAAGGTGTATACTTGCTAGTCTTTAATGATGAACTATTTTAAAGCATTTGTAATTTTTTTTTTCTTAAGTTTAATATTGCTTGTAGGAAAAAAGTGACCGTATTTTCATTATTTTTGCACCGTTAAACCTACTCTAGTAGAAGGAACTTCCATGCTAATATGTTAAAATAAGAACAACTATAATTGGTATTAGGTAACTTTAAAAAGCTATCTACGTCAAATGGCATACAAGGGACCAGGCAGAAATATTTCTAAATAACCCTGAATGTAAATATGAGTCTGTTCATTGGAATGGTTTTGCTAATCTTATAACTAGCCTCATAGAAGCTTTTAATGTGACCTCCCTAGTATGTTCCACTAGAATTTATCAATTTTTTACTTGTATCCTTGATGACTTTGTATATTTATCTTTAATATGATAAATAATTATTTTCTTGAATAGTTGGAGGCATTGATTATAAAGATAATTTTTTCATGGGCTTCCAAGTATACCAAAAGATTTTTTCACTTTTCCAATGGTTGTCATTTGTAAGTGTTTGAAAAAGAATCCCTTTATGTGTTGAAAACAACAACAAAAAAATAAGCTTATATATAAGAGAAAATATGATTTAAATATAGATGTAATCTTTTGACTTTGTGTGGTATACATGTAACCAAAGAACCATACTCTGTCAAAGAACGTTTCCTTCTTAGTCACTTAGATTGGCTAAATGAATGCCAGCCTTCGTTGGGAGTAATAAGACCAAACCTATCCCCTCCCATCCCCCGTTACACGTATCAGTCTTTCAGGGAACAAACTTAGTGCTGGAAATTTTTCAGTACTTCTTATTTTCTGAAAATAAAAATGGATGATTGAACTGTGGTTACATTTTTAAAAAGAAAACAAGCCAGTTATGTGGTTATCTTGAGATAATTTATCATGGTTTCCAAGGAATATTATGCTGTAAATCAGCAGAAAAGAGTGAAATTTCTAATTAACGTAATTTGATTGTATGATATAACAAATGGAATTTGTTCATGTTTTATGTATTAATTGATAAAAGCTTAGGAATTCTGGCTGTATGCCAAGATGTAAGTTTATATCCAAAGGAGAGTAAAACATTGGAGAGATATAATTCATTGGTTTAAATAGTTACCATTCCACCTATGTAGAGGATGTGAATCTTAAAATCAAACTTGGAAGGCTGAAAGGAAATGATGTGCCCAAATTGCATTTGTTTGGAGGAACAGAATAGTTACACTTTCAAGAAATGGTTAAAATCCCAGTGGAGCTAATTGTGTGATTGCCACAAGCCGCTCAGGGACTCACTATTCTAAATGAGGTAACAGACCAGTTTTGGCAGCCACATGGAAAAACTGTGCAACAAACCCTCCCTTTGGTAAATTTTAGTTTCCCAACCTCAGCACTATTGACCTTTTACCAGATAATTCTTTGTTGTGGTGCACTCTTGTGTGCACTCTGGGGTGTTTAGCGCATTCCTGGCACCTACATAGGGGACGTCAGTAGCATCTCCCCGGGGTCCACAAGTTGTGACAACCAGAAGAGTCTCTAGACAATGCCAAATGCCCCTTGGGGGACAAAATTACCCCCACTGGCGTACATGTTACCAAGATGTGAAATATGTCTTGTGGGAAAATGGCAATAATATGGAAAAATACATGAATTTATGATGAATAGACCTTATCAAATGGGAACTTTTTAATTACTCGCAAAAATGCTAACAGATGCTACAACAATAGGAAAGTGAGTAAAATAGTTTTAGTTAGCAGTTTCTACTGTAAAGAGATAGAAGTACGCTAGTA